GCTTACTTAAAGGACAAAATTTTATAGGGAATATTTCAGAGAAGATTTGCTAGGCTGATCCTAGGTTGAGGTGTTTGCCTTACAAGGAAGAGTGGGAAAGATTGGACCTATACATGTTGTAATTTAGAAGAATAAGAAATTATCTTGATCAGAATCTTATAGGAGTTTGAGCGATAGAGGTCCGTCTCCATGTCGAGATCTCTCATTCTGGCTTTTATGTTTTTGACGTGGTTCTTGCTAGATAGTCGAGATGCCGTTTAACTGGGATTAACACTTGGTAAACACCTTGTTAATCCCACAAACAGCCTCATTAATATTTAGACTCCTATTTTACCAAACTCGCTAAACAAGCTTGACATTAGGAAGCTGAGCAGGTACCTGGCGAATTCAACTCTCCCCTTATTCTGAATGACCTCCATGTTGGAAACCAGGTACTAACATCTCAGGGCATGCTCTGTGGGCACCAGTACCAAGTGCCCCACATCCATGGACATTGGCATTTGCCAAACACCAGCTTCTAAGAGCTCTAAAGACACATCTGTGATCTACATACAGGACTTTCAATGCTGTATCTTGGTCTGCACTGGTAACTGTCACTGGAATTTTTTTTATTGCAAGGATATACTTTATTCATAGAAGGAAATCTTTATGTACATACATAGTTAATGTAGTCAATCTGATCTATACTATTATTACTTGCAAAGAATGAAACAAACATTGGGATTCGGCTTTCTCTATATTTACAATTAAACTCTTGGCTTTTAGCTGAGGCCTCTGGGAAGGTCCGATTACATGGATGGACCCCCCGATATGGATTGGCAGGAGGACCTTACACGGTGGTCTTTCCCCACTGCGCCTCGGCTTTAGCGTGTCTCTCAGCACGTAGTCCTGGACCTCGGAATGTGCCAGGCTGCAACACTCAGTCGGGGTCAACTCTTTCAACTGGAACACCAGCAAATTTCAGGCAAACCAAAGCACATCTTTCACTGTGTTGATGGTCCTCCAGGCACAGCTAATGTTTGTCTCTGTGTGCGTCCCAGGAAACAGACCGTAGAGCACAGAGTCCTGCGTCACAGAGCTACTCAGGACAAATCTCGACGAAAACCACTGCATTTCTCTTCAGACTTCCTTTGCATAGGCACATCCCAGAAGGAGGTGTGAGACAGTCTCGTCCCCTCCACAGCCACTTCTAGGGCAGTGTGCAGTGGTGCAGAGAGTCCGGGCATGCATGAAGGATCTCACCGGCAGAGCCCTCCCCACCATCAGCCAAGCAATGTCCTGGTGCTTGTTAGAAAGTTCTGGTGATGAGGCATTCTGCCAAATGACTTTGACAGTCTGCACAAGGAACGACTCGACAAGATCTGCCTTTCCTTTTCCCGAAGGGCCTCGAGGATGCTACGTGCCGACTACTGCCTGACGGACTTGTGGTCAAAGGTATTTTTCTTCACAAATTTCTCCACAAGGGACAGGTGATACAAGGTGGTCCAACTACTTGGAGCGTTCTGTGGCAACGAGACCAAGCCTATCCTTAGCAACAGTGGGGACAGGTAGGACCTCAGTAAGTAGTGACACTTGGTGTTTGCACACTGAGGCTGTATGCACAGCTTGATGCAGCCACACATAAACATGGCCATCAGGGTGAGGGTAGCATTGGGTATGTTTCTCCCCCACTTTGTCCAGTTCTTTATACATAATGTTCCTTCGAATTCGGTCCATCTTCTACCTCCAAATATAACTGTCGCTGCAATACTAAAGCAAGGGCCCTGTGTCCTCAGGGACATTCACCCAGATCTTGAACTAGACCCGACTGCATCTCTGGACTTTTCATTTGCTGTCATGGTGTTCTGTCTCTGAAATTACCTGGATAACTTTACAGAATTCCTGCCTTGTGTTACCTTGCTTTGCCTATTTGCACTTTTCCCTCTCAGTCAGAGATACCAGGTTCATCTAATTACTGCAGAAGCTCAACTGGTTGGGCAGCATCTGTAGGGAAAAGCAGAGTTAACATTTCGAGTCCAATGACTCTTCTTCAGAACAAATAGCAGATAGGAAGGTACAGTATTTATGATCAAGATGGGGTTGGGGTGTGTGGGGGGAGATCTAAGTGGATAAGTGGAGATGGTGCCTGAAATAATTCAGAGGCTGGTATCCAGTCACCAAGTCACCCTTTATTTACATGTGGAGAGTTCTTCACACTGGTCCAGCTCCCTCAGAACCAGCTCTGAGTGAACAGAACCTCTAGCGCTCTTGTTCTTATCTGTCAGCCAGGGATCCCTGACTGGGGCTGTTAATCTGGTCCAATCAGGGAACTCATACTTTGAGGTCCACCTGGCTGACCTCAATACAATTATTACAGAGTGCAGAAAGTGAGAGATATGAAAGGGTAGCCAAACAATGGAATGGTTGCTAGTAAACCCAGACAGCGAGGAGCTGAAAAAGTCATAGAGAGCTAAGAATAGGAGAGAATATTTTGGCTGTGCTGAAAGCAACCCATATCATTGACAAGTTTAGTGTTTGGGAGTGGGGTTTGTTTCAGATCTTCTATCACTTATATAATTGCTGCTGTTCACTGCTGTTTAGTGAAGACACCAAAGTAAGGAACGTTGTCATGGTTGTCAGCAGGTTTGAGTCCAGACAAGAGGCATGTCCTTTACTCCGGTCCCTGGCACCGTAAGTCAAAGACAGCGTCTGATACCAGTCCATATCCTGTGTAGGGTCAGAGTCGGGATCCTCCCTTCATAAAGGATGAGGAACTGAATGTTGGCAGTTCACCACCTGGCTTGACTCTTTCTGCCCTGTTGTGGACTTGATTTGCCTTGAATAAGAGAGAGGCGGTATTATGAGAGATGAAAGTGGGTGGCACAGCTGTTACATTTCTTGTAGGTGGGGAGGTGTCTTGACTAAGTGAGTAGGCAGCACAGAGGGCATGCAGGGTGAGTGGTGTCAGGAGTTAATTTGGGTGAAAATGAGTGAAGGGAGGATGGTGCTGGCAGTCGTGAGAGTGGTGGAGCATGGGCCTTGGTGTGAGATAGGTATAGCAGAGATAGAGTGAGGGTGAAGTATCAGAGAGAAGATATGGTACTTATATTGGTAATGTGGAGGACATTTGGCCATCTTCCTACATAGCTGTGCATTCCTCCAGATTATTGATACTGCTTTAACCTAATGTGAACCTAATGTGAACCTCATACCTGGCTGGCATGGTCTAGTGCTTTGGACTTCACTGCTGGTCCTGGGGAAGAGGAAATCCCACGTTGGCACCTCCCCACCCCTCTTGATTCAGCACCATCTTCAGGACCTGGTGTTTGTGGATATCCGTTGAGTGCTACATTGTTCCAGGATCAATATGTGGTAAGATGGGGTGGAAATTGAGTTTTTTGGATGCTGTGGAGTGTGGGAGGTATTTAATGAGGTGATTGGTAAGGTATGGCAAGAGAACTATCTGGGCCTAGTGGCAACAAACCTCCTTTTAAAAAAAATCTCGATTCAACTCAAACTTAATCCAAAAATTGTAAGACTCAGCTCTGTATTGAATATTATAACATTCTGGAGCATGACTGGATAAATGCCTAACAGATTTTTCTCCAAATGGATGAATCCAGAACTACCAGGAGGCAGTTTCAGAATAAGAGGTCACCCTTTTAAGATGGAGATGAGGAGGAATTTCTTCTTTCAGACAGCCATTAGTCTTTGGAGCTATCTTTGTTCTCTCTGCAATAAGGAGTGGAGGCAAGGTCATTTACTTTGTACAAGACTGAGTTAGACCTATTTTTGACTGCCAATTGAATTGAGAGATAGGGGGGACCGTTAGGAAAATGTATTGAGGCCACAATCAGATCAACCATGGTGGAGCATGCTTGAGGGTTCAAGTGGCCTACTCCTGTCCCTATTAATTTATTACGTTCTTATATTGTAAACTATAGCCGCAACTTGTCACTTATTATCATGCTGTATGCATCCTGTTTAATAGACAAATGTACTTAGAGTTCAGGCATGGGAGGTAAGTGAATGGACTGGAATGGATTCTTTGATGTGACAGTCAAGTATTCACTTATACCATAGGGTGGACATTTATGATAACATTTTATGATAGACATGATTACCTCTATGCAGCAGTAGTCTAATGGTCCTGAATTGATGGCTTTAGTCAGCATAATGGTATGACTGGTTAGATCTGGGAAGGTGGTAGCTTCAATGAAGATGAAAACAATTGTACATGATGGATATAAAGAAATGTGCAAGGTCGTGTATACTTTTTATCCAATTGCTTCCCTTAATAGATAGTGCTTTGGGTAGAATTACTCAAAATATCACATAAGGTAATATTTTCTTTGATAAATCTGTACTGATCATGATATTTATACTGAACTGATCTCACCAGCATTGTTACAAATGAATGACCATGCATGTACATAGATCTGTACATTTGCATGTATATATTTCTTGTTCTGTGGAAATATTTATATTGTTTACAAAATAATCTGAAATTGTTTGACAGGTGTTAAAGGTTCTACTGACTCTTTATTAATAAAATGGATGGCTAAAATGGTAAAGTAAAACTCCCTTGTGCACTTCACAAGTCAAGTGAATAACTTAGAGATAAAATATTGAGCTTTCGTTTTCAACTTAAACTGATGCAGTAGCGAGCACTGAAGAAAGAATGTTCATGAAATCTCCTATATGTGCTATTGCGTTTTGATATTTCACCATAAGAAGGAATATTCTTTTTCTGAAAATCTCTGCCTCCTCAGAACCATCACATGTGAATGATTTCAGACGTGCCAACTTTTGGTATTAAAAGTAAAACTTGATATTGTTTATTGTACAATAAAAAATTAAAAGCAAATTAAATAAACTATTCCGTCTTCTGAAGTGATTTGCTTTAGAGGTGGGGCGCAAACTAAACTTATGTATATGTTATTACTGATAAAGTATTGACAGTGTTATTCACTTGGAAGATTCAGTATTGAGTGCTAATAGATTATTCTCTATTTTTGCAGGTAAATGTTGAAGACACTATTGAAATGTTACCGAAATCAAGACGCGCACTTACAATCCAGGAGATTGCTGCACTTGCAAGATCATCTTTGCATGGTTTGTGTGCATTCCTAATAAATAAGGATGATTATTTGCATAAACTCACCTTTTTGGAGTTGAATATCTAAAATTTAAATTCACTAAAGTATGAATGTTTGGACAAATATAAGTGAACATCCTAAATAATTTGTACGTGCACTACACCTCATGTAAAATATGTTCCCAGTGATTATAGAAATACACAAAAGGATGGTGTGGGTCTACAGCAAGGAAACAAGGAGAGATGTAGACTGTAGTGGTTGTCTCCATCAACTGCAGTAATTAGACTTTGGAATTGAATGCAAATTCATACTACATCTTCAAGACATCTAGACATTTCTTCTGACACTCTGGCCAAATAGAGATATCTGATATTCCAACAAAATGTCAAACTAGCTATGGTATTATGAATATGCTATTATAATATTCAGGTCATTTACTAATCATTAGCTTACCATGACAACTACAAAGGATTGTAATTAAAAAGAAAACATACATTTAGACATGCAGTGAACATACTTTAACCTGTGAAAACTACTTTGACACACCATTAAAAGAAAGTAAATCTAGGCCCGAAACATCAGCTTTCCTGCTGCTTGGCCTGCTGTGTTCATCCAGCTCTACACCTTGTTATCTCAGATTCTCCAGTATCTGCAGTTCCTACTATCTCTGAAATCTATCAATTGTCAGGTTAATTTTCCCTAGTTCCAGAAAATAATTTTTAATTGACTTCAGGAATAACGTGAACAACAAAAAATAGAAAGCTTTTGGGTGGGCAAGATCCATTTGGCCTCTGAATCATAATCCATTTAGATGCAAAGTGGCTATCAATGTCACTTATCCATCCATTAATCAAACTTCAAAAAAATGTATTTAACCAGAGAAAGAAATTACTCATTTCGGGCAATTTTGTTTTGATGTCTGAAAAGATCAGGTGAAAAGCAATTCTCCTCAAAATGACCTCAGCAATATGCAGATAAAACCAGATTACATGGCCTATGAGAGAGGCAGCATTTACAGACAGCAGCAGTAAACTATGTATTACCATTAATAAGTATGGACTAAAATTAGTAAAGTTGAGTGTTACAGGCACAGATTGATTGCAGGAATATGATGTTGTGGCGATAATGGAAATCTGGCTTAAGGAGGGGCAGATATGAGTGTTAAATATCCTGGTTAAAAGGTGTTCAGAAAAAGTATAGAAAGAGAGGGGGCAATGTCTTTGGCATTGAGTACTGGACAAAGAGGATGTTTCAGACGGTTCAGGGATGAAATTGATTTCGTTCAAATTAAGGAATAAGGATGGTGCCATTACATTGCTCTGCATAACATTTCAAACCCCCGGTACTGGGAAGGATATAGAGAAATTAATCTGCAAAGAAATTACAGAGAGGTGTAAACATCATTGTGTAGTTATAATGGGGGACTTTAATTAACCACTCATAAACTGAGGTAGCAGTATGTACGGTGCAGTGAGGGACAAGCATTCCTAGAACGTGTTTGAGAATTTTGTATGGCAGTAAGAATCCAATCTTAAAGGAAAGGAGGCACCTAGTTCTTGGGAATGAGGTGGACCAAGTGAATAAACTGACAATGGAGTAACATTTAGGGGGCAGTGACTATTGTATTTTAAGGTTTAGGATGATACAGGAAAATGACATTGGTCAATCCAGAGTAACAATATTCAACCAGTGGAGAGTCGATTTTCAATTGGTCGAGGACAGAGCTAGGCCAGAGAAACTGAAACTGAAGGTTATCAGGAAAATCAGTTGAGCACAAAGAGGAGATGTGTTGGGCACAGTCAAGATATGTTCCCTGAAAAGGGAAAGGCACAGCGAACAAATCCAGAGCTCCCTGAATGACAATGGAGATAGAAATTGAGTAAAATAAGTAAAAATGCATTCATGAGAGGTGGCACATAGTAAACACTATTAAGAACCACGCTGAATACAGAGGTTCAGAACAGAGGTGAAAAAAGTAAATTTGGGAAGCAAAGAAGGATTATGAAAAGAGACTGGCAGCTAATATAAAGGAAAATCCTAGATTTCTTTAAGAACATTGAGAGTAAAAGAATGGTAAAAGGAGGACTAGGATTGACTAAGGACTCAAAAGGGAATTCACACGCATAAACAAAAGGCATGGCTGAGGTGTTAAATGAATACTTTGCATCTCTCTTTATCTGTGAGGCAGATGGTGCTCAGGCAATGGTGACTGAGGAAACCCAGTCACAAGGGCTTGAAATTGATAAGGAGGAGGTAGTAGATAAACATTTGGTACTTAAAGTTGTAAAGACACCAAGGACAGAATGAGATGCATCCAAGAATATCCCCTCGTTTGAGAAAGCTTGTAAAGATATGCTCAGCAAATACAGACTGGTCAGTTTTAAATTTGATGGTGGGGAAACTTCTAGAAACAATTCATAGAATCCCTACAGTGTGGAAACAGGCCATTCGGCCCATCCTCCTCCAAAGAGCATCCCACCCAGACCCACCCCCTGCCCTATCCCTGCATTTTCCACCATAGACATCATGGGCAATTTAGCATGGTCAATACACCTAACCTGCACATCTTTGGACTGTGGAAGGAAACCCACGCAGGCACAGGGAGAACATGCAAACTGCACACAGACAGTTGCCTGACGCTGGAATTGAACCTGGGTCCCTGACACTGTGAGGCAGCAGTGCTAAACACTGAGCCACTGGGATAGAATTAATAGTCACATTAAAAAATGTGTTGATCGGAAGAGTCAGCATGGATTTAAGGGAAAATCATGTTTAATTAAACTGCTGGAGTTTTTTTTGAGGTAGTATAAGAGAGGGAAAGGCCATTTAATGTGGTGTACATGAATTTCTGAAAGGCATTCATTTTTTGTGTCATACAACAAACTTGTGAGGAAATTTACAGGCCATGGGATTAGAAGGATAGTCACAATATAGATACACTGTTACTTGTGAAATAGCAAACAGTGTGATGGTTAATGGGTATTTTTCAGGCTGGAAAAAGGCTTGTAGTGGAGTTCCCCGGGGTTGATATTGAAACCGTTGCCTTTTCTGATGTATCTAAATGATCTAGATCTTGATGTTCAGGGGACAATTTCAAAGTTTGTAGATAACACAAAACTTGGGAGAATTGTAAACTTTGGGGAGGACGCTTGATGGAGTGGGTAGATAGATAGTAAACCAAATTCAATGCAGAGAAGTAGAAGTGATAGATTTTGCTACAAAGGAAATGGACAGACAGAATTCTTCATTTTATACTATTATAAAAGGTGCGCAGAAGCGAGAAACCTCGATGTATGTGTACATAACTCATTAAATGAGTAAGTAAAGGCACAGAAAGCTATTAATAAAGCATACAGCATTCCAGGTTTCATTAATAGGTGTAGAATACAAGAATAGGGAAGTTATGACGAACTTTTTTAAAAAAAAAAAAAACAACACTGGTTAGACCTCAGCAGGAATATCATGTGCAGTTCTGGACTCCACTCTACAGGAAGGTCGTGAAGCTATTGGAGAGAGTGCGGAAAGTGTTTACAAGAATGATTCCAGGGATAAGATCCTTCAGTTTTGAAGAAAAGACTGGAGAAGTTGGGACAGATTCCTAGGTGAGAAGAAGGCTGAGAGGAGATTTGATAGAAGTTTACAAAATCATGAGGGTTGTGGACAAAGTAAATAGGAAGAAACTTCTTGCTTGTAAATGGATTAACAAAGGGCACAGTTTTAAACTGTTTTTGCAAAGAAAGCAAAGGTGAGGTGAGAGAAACCTCTTTTCATACAGCAAGTATTACAGGTCTGGAATGCATTGACTGGAAGTGTGGTGGAAGAAGTAGAAAGTATTTAGATAATTATTTAAACAGAAACAATGTGTAGCATTAAAGGGAACAGGCAGGAGCTCAACACTGTTCAAATGCTCAGAGAGCTGGTGTAGACTAAGGGTTGAATAGCTTCCTTCTGCAACATAATATTTGTGATGCTGTGAAATTGCTTTGTGTTCTGAATAATGTACCTCTAACCTGTTATGTAAATAACACCTAAACCCAACAATTCTGAATGTTAAACATTTAGTTGAGGGCTAGGTGCTTAAGTAGCATTCTGTTGTTATAATCTTTATAGGGTATTACCACCTGCTGTATTCATGTATTATTTTATATGTTTAGGCTTTAGACATAAAAGGCACATTGAGCAATGTTCTACAGCCTTCTGTTTATGGTGAAGCCAAGATTAAGGAAGCTCAGCTGGGTCTTTGGCTTTCCCTATGGCTTAGAACAGCATCTGTTGCATTGTGGTCCTGATTTGGAAATTGGCGTCACTTGCTTATTATGATGCTTCCTAACGTCTCTGTGTACATGACACAGTTCACCCAACGACAGTATTTGAGCATTTAAATTACCAACAAAATTTTAAGTTTTTAACAAATTTTTCAAACAGGAAGTAAAAGCCAACTCAAAGAAGAAAGACATACAATGCCCTTCACAATCACACAATATCCCAAAGGATTTTACTATGCAATTATTGACATACCTTTGAAGTTTAATTATTGTAAGAATCCATTCACTAAAGTGAGGGAATAATGATGTGTTGGTCACTGCACCATTCTTACACACATCAGCTTCAAATATAACTCAGGAATGTGTATACTTTTAAAATTCGTTTGATTTTACTTTACCCTAATAGTTTAGGTTTGACTTTTTTATTCATTCATGGTATGTGGGTGTCACTGGCTGGATCAACATTTTTCACCCGACTCTAGTTGCTCTGGAGAAGGTGGTGGTGAGCTGCCTTCTTGAACCATTGCTGTGCATTTTTTAAAGGTAGACCCACACTGCCATTAGGAAGGGAGTTCTAGAATCTCAACCCTGCGGCACTGAAAGAATGATGAAATATTTACAGGTTTGGATGGTGAGTAACTAGGAATAGAACTTCCAGCAGATGGCATTCCCAGGTACCTGCTGGTCATGAGTTTGGAAGGTACTGTCTTAGGAGCCTTGGAAGTTCTTTAGTGGACTGTGTTACTGAAACAATTTTTTCAGTGAATTTGTTGATTTGTTCAAAATTATTTTATTTTCTACACATCCCTCCTTTTCAACCAATTTTCTTTCTTTTCCTCAGGTTTCTCCCAGGTTGTAAAAGACCATGTAACTAAACCTACTGCCATGGCTCAGGGTCGAGTTGCTCACCTCATAGAATGGAAGGGCTGGTGTAAGCCTATGGAATCTCCAATGACTCTGGAGATTGATTTCAATTCCTACTCAGACTTAAGTGAAGGTGAACAGGAAGCAAGATTTGCAGCAGGTAGATCAAATTTTAAATTTAGCTATTACATGTGTATATAATTTATTCAGCTAACTGACCCATAAAAGACATTTTTAAAAAAAAAAAAACTGCTTGATCATTTGTAGTATGGTTGTGAATGTCATGTATTTGATAAGTACTGTGAATGAAAATTCTGTTGTCAACGTGTATCGAGCACTGATCTTATATACTGGTAAAAAGATAAATAAGGAGACAAGTCATATGCACGATGTGAGAACTTTATAAGCAGTGGTAAGGCCTAGAATAATTTAGGTGAATTATCACAATTGGTTCAGTCATTTTAATGCCAGTTTAGAAATTTTCTTTTCATGTGCAGTAATTGGTCTTAAATTTGTCATCCTTCTGAATTTTCCATTTTTCTGACGACACCAGCTGACCTTTTTTGAAATAACTTGAACATCCAGGTTGGATCTTAATTTAATTCAAAATAATGCATTTTAAACAATGCAGCAATTGCTCAGTACTGCACTGAAGTATCAGCCTAAACTCTGGTGCTCTTTATCAATAACGATTTTTTTTTTCATTTGTGCGGCACAAGTCAACTTTCATTTGGAAAGTTGCTATGAATACAATGCAAAATAATCCCCTAAAATACCTCTGTTCCCCACGACAATCTTAGAGTAATGGGTAGGTTTCTGGTACGAGGCTGATGTTTATTATTCCTTGAAGTGTTCTAGCTATAGTAACATTTGGTTAAACTGACTATGCTCCCTTCAAATTGAATGGACTAATAGTTGGGGCTGTACCAAAGAGAACAACCAAGGTGAAGCAGACAAAGAGTTTAACTGGGTATCAATTATAGTGGAATTAGTCAACCTTTATAGATCTCATCTTTCCTATTTTGCTCCAGTAGAAATAATTTTCAGCTGGGGAATCTTGTGCACTCTCTGGAGGCGAGTTTGGTAGCTGGAAGGATGAGGTCATGGTCTCCACCTCCACCATGATGCAACGGCCTTCCCACCTTGTAGCCACTTGAGGCCTTAGGTGGCTAATTAATGCCCACTTAAAGGCTTCATCCTGCCACTATTGGTATTAACCCAGTGGGGAGCTTGCAGGAAGTATGACAAGCAAACCCATGTGGATTACAGGCAGGTTTCTGAAGAGGCATCCCTCATTCAAAGGCACTCAGTGCCTGATTAAGAGATGCATCCATCTCCCCTGCAACCCCTAAGCCACTACTTTTTTCCTCTAGGATCCAGCTATGATCTTAGGTCTTGGTGGGTGTCATGCAGATAGCAGCCATCCGTTCCTTGTCCTGACTGACCAGTTGCTGTTCGTGGGTGTGATTTCCATTTTGGGTCCTTGATACTGGCTAAGGCCACTGCTGATTTGTCAAGGGCCTGATAGACATATGATGTGATGTGCCTTCTGGAAAAGAAGTGACACATGGTTCTTGCCAGTTCTTTAGCCAGCGGCCAAGCCTCTGGCTACCTCCACAAAATTTTGCCTAGTAATCCGACTATCATCATAACACTTTTTCCATGAAACTGGAGTCAACACAGTGCGGAGCTGGAGGAACACAGTAGGTCGGGCAGCATCAGAGGAGCAGGAAAGTTGACGTATTGGGTCGGGCCCCTTCATCAGAGCTGGTTTTTTTTTTTGTGGGCGCAAGGGAACGAATGTGAGTCCTTTTCTGTGGACTGACCATTCGCCCTCGTGAGGGGAAGGTCTGGGGGGGATGGTAAATACCCGGCAGGGTGTGGGGCTGGGGTTTGATTTAGAGCTGGAGCTGAGAGTTGGGGTGGAGACTATCTTGGGAGTAGGTGTGTGTATGGGGATGGTAACATATGTGGAAGCAGAAGTGACGTTATTGATTTCGGTGGCGGAAGCGACGTCGGCAGTGGACATGATGTCATTGGCGTCGGCAGCAGAAGTGACGTAGTGATGTCGTTGGTGGAAGTGACTTGGTTGACAGCATCAGGGGGAGCAGCCGAGGTGGCTGCATGGTTAATAGCGCTGGGCAAATTCAGAATTAGGTTGTGGATAGGGTTAGGGTCTAGTGTGGTGGAGGAGGTCTGTGTTTGGAGGTCAGCATGAGCAAGTTTGGTGTACTTATGGTCCTTGATGTCCGATAGGGCAGAGAAAAAGCGTTGGTTGACAGTGTAGAACTGGACTTCACCTGACAGTTTAGCTTGTGGATCAGGGCATTGCTCAGTGTAGCCCTCAATCATAAAGACAGAATAGCTAATCTGCGCTAAATAATCTGATTTCATCTCAGGCAGCAACTGCAGATTATACAAACAAAAACCAAAATTGCTGGAGAGCCATTCTGAGGAAGAGTCATTGGACCCGAAATGTTAACTGATTTCTCTTCACAGATGCTGCCAGACCTGCTGAGGTTTTCCAGCACTTTCTGTTTTTGCTTGAGTCTTAAATGTGTTGTTTTCAATAATTGTGGAGCTCGCTGATTCTTGTTGTCTACCTAATGCATAAAATACTTGGATCATTGAGAGTTTTTGGGATTTCTTTGAAATCAGACTTCGGTAGACATCAGCAATTTCAGAACAAAAGAAAAAATATTCAGATTTGTTTTCCAGCTTTTAAACACATCACAAATGGTCACTAGACTTTGAACTGAACGTTACATTGTTAAGGCAACCACATGAAATAGATTTTGTGTGTGCTTGGGTACAAAACCATTACCATCATAAGGAGGAATATAGAACTGACAGTTTATTTAGCAACAAACTACTTTTATGTTACATGATTTCTTTTTTATTACCTCATCACAAGTGAATAGAATTCTGTTTCTTGATATGCAATAAATTTAGTCATCTGATTAACTTGTTGTTCTCTTGTATATTGAAGACAGCCTGAACATCAGTTAAGTTTTCATGCAAACCCTACATGGTAGTATCAATTCAGAAAACCAGTTTATTGGGAAGATTTGTGTTAAACAATTATTGAGCATTAAAGATGAGGGTTAGTGCCTAGTAATGTTTCAGAGGAATGCCTAAATACCAATTATTTTTCCTTTACATTGATTATCATATTCTCAATGCCTGTAGCTTTTTGAACATACTGTAATTAATGCTGATAAATTAAATTTTGAATTTGAACACATTTTTTGGATTCAGTCAAATCCCTTTTGATGTGAAGCCCCATGAAACTCACTTCTTCCTTCTCTTGATATGTTCTGGCCAGATCTGGTGATGGATGGCTAAACCAAATATGCACCACTTCAGAATTGAAGGAGCAAAAATGGGGGTCACACCGGGGTAATGACCAGAATGGGAGAGAGTAAGGGTTTTGCTGGGGACAAGGGCATCAATTGTGAGGCGAGGGTAAATCTCCCTAACATCTCCTTTAGCCTTTTGGCTGCAGTAGATACAATTTCATCATAAGAATGGTTTCTCTTTTTTTTTCTGTAAATATTAATTTGGTATGGCAGATTTTTAAATATTGATAAATTTTTGAAGAAGACTTTAAAAGTATTTTTTAAACATGCTTTCCATTTTAGAACACTATAAATGTATTCAAATAATTCAGGACCAATACAGAGTTTTAAGTGAGACAACAAGGTGCAGGGCTGGATGAACACAGCAGGCCAAGCAGCATCATAGGAGCAGAAAGGCTGACGTTTCGGGCCTAGACCCTTCATCAGAAAAGGGGGAGGGGAAGGGGGGTTCCGAAATAAATAGGGAGAGAGTGGGAGGCGGATAGAAGAGGGATAGAGGAGAGGATAGGTGGAGAGGAAACAAACAGGTCGAAGAGGCGGGGATGGAGCCAGTAAAGGTGAGTGTAGGTGGGGAGTTAGGAAGGGGATAGGTCAGTCCAGGGAGGACGGACAGGTCAAGGGGGCGGGATGAGGTTGGTCGGTAGGAGATGGAGGTGCGGCTTGAGGTGGGAGGAGGGGATAGGTGGGAGGAAGAACAGGTTAGGGAGGCAGGGACGAGCTGGACTGGTTTTGGGACGCGGTAGGGGGAGGGGAGATTTTGAAACTTGTGAAATCCACATTGATACCATTGGGCTGCAGGGTTCCCAAGCGGAATATGAGTTGCTGTTCCTGCAACCTTCGGGTGGCATCGTTGTGGCACTGCAGGAGGCCCAGGATGGACATGTCGTCTGAGGAATGGGAGGGGGAGTTGAAATGGTTCGCGACCGGGAGGTGCAGTTGTTTGTTGCGAACCGAGCGTAAGTGTTCTGCAAAGCGGTCCCCGAG